ACGAAAGAGCGTTGTCGAACGTGAGCAAACACTTTCGCGAGGAATGTATGCCGCCCCGGGGCACGCGAGAAAAGTTTTCGTGTCCCGTCTTACGCGAAGCGTGGATAATCATCGGGTAACTTAAATCATACACTTCGTCTTTACTAATGGACAGCCATTCTCTCTCGTACTCAGTAATTTTTGTTGCCCGAATAAGACGTTAGACGTGTCTTAAATGTAGATAGCGCATAACTGTTTATTCTGGAATGAATATTTGAAAGACGAAGTACACAATTCAACAAATTGTAATTATTTTATTTTCAAAATTTTATATTAAAGGATTATTCATTCTAGAATTTATTTAAAAATTTTTTTGCAGAGTATTCTTTTAGACGAAAATTTTGATATTGTATAAGCATATTTGAGATATTATTTTGGAATTTTTAGAATAGAATTAGGGGACACAAATAAATAGGAACCCCTCATTTTTTTCAATTTAAGATTATATTAGTTGCAATCTTGAATCTTGCAATTTTTATATTTTTTTATGTAGAAAATAAATGTACGTGAAAGCGTTTGAAATTGATTATATACGTGCAGCATATTTATCGATGGCAAGTAAGATCAGTTATCATCTAATGGCATATACGAATAATTTTGCGCGATAACATCGTGATTGTAACAATATACGCGTCGATATGTTTATTTAACGCGTACATTGTGTAGCGTTAAGACGTTTATCTCTGCGCACGTAAGGCAAATCTCCCTTTCCCTCTCTCTTTTTCTTAAAGGAGCCGTATTACCATTTCTCTCTTCTCGCGTTGCATTAGCATTTTAAATTTAATCGCGAGACATTGACGCCCTTGAGCACTAATGGACTCTTTCTTTCTCTCCCTTCTCTCCCTTTCTCTCTTCCTCGCGCTATCGTCTCATTTCCCTTCTCTTTCTCTCGCAAAAACAGTTATATTATCTCTTAATTTTTACTGCAAGACAGGGTCGCTTGTCATTGACAAATCGGATGTCATCTTCATCTCCTATTTTTCTTTTCTTTTTAGTATGAGATATTGTAAATTATCTTTGACCTGTTTTTTAACGACACGACGCACGCAATCGACATGTAAAAAAAATATACAGAGTAGTTTGAGATATTGAGCAGAAATATGAAGTAACCGTCTAAAATCTTCTGTTTTTCGTGAATTTCTCGACTAATTTTTGGAGTCGATACATAACGAAAAATGAAATATTTATCCTTTAAATATATTTTATTATTTCTTTTATCTTATATTTTATTTTTATCATCTGCTGTAAGTTGTTTTATTGTATTTTAAATTAATTCTACATAGAGGCAAGTTAAATTGCAAAAGCATTTCGATCGCTTCGCTATTAATAGAGAATCGTCAAGAGCTGTAAAAATGTAATTTCAGTTTTACGATTCTTTGAAAATCTATAGAATTTCTCTCTCTCTATATTTTTTAGTGCCGAATTGTGTTACAAATTCTCGCCCGTATGCTAGTTCTTTATGAAGAGGGAAGAAGATGCGGGCTTAGGGATGCCTCGATCTCCATTAATCGTTCTATTAAAGTTTCGTCTCTCAGTTTCCCCGAAATGTCCCACAGCAATCATTCTTTCGATTCGGTTTAGTCGTCGATATATTGTGATTAATTACTTTGTGATTCGTAGAATCTTAACAGTGAAAGCTCGATTATTCGAACGTTATTCAATCGAATGTTTGATTATTGTCGAACAGTGCAGGAGCATTCGACTATTCGACGGAATAGTGTTGTCTTGTAAAGACGCTAATGGAACATTCGGTTAAATAAAGGTCGAATAATCGCGATTTCTGCATGCTAAATGGTGTGTTTAAAGTGAAACGCGCAAAACGTGTATATTATGCCGAATTATTCGTTGCCGGTCGAAAAACACCAGGCCTGCACCCACCTGCGCCATTTGCCACCCACGCAATGTTCCCGAATCACTTTATTTTCACCTTTACGGCATATATGGCAGCTTGATATCGTATTGTCCCGAATACGACACTCCGAAAAAATTTCTTACGCCACACTGTAACGCATTTTGAGCCGTGCGATCTTGTTTCGTGGATAAAATATTAATGACATCTATTTCCTTCTGGCGTGAATAAAATCTTAACTTTTTTATCGCGCATAAAGTTATATTTTTATTTGAATGGAGAAAAAAAATTCAAGACTTAGGCATTTGTTTGTATCACTATTTATTTTTGCTTTAGCGATAACATATCAATGAATACATAGATGTTTATTATATAAATATCTATTTGGTATATCTATTTATGGTATTTATGACATGCAAATGATTAGCAATAAAATGATTGGAAAGTGGGTGAAGGAAATCGCGTTTTGCGCAGCTCGGTTAAAATTTCTGAAAATACGTTTCTCGTCAAAAGACGATTTTACAAACGTGCGTGCACACACAATGCCACTTGCGGGAGTGTAAACTCATTTCAGTTATTTCCCTCTTGCTTCCATCTTTCGGCAGCGATAAAACCATTGCTTGCTTCCATCTTTCGATCGGCAGCGATAAAACTATTGCAGGATTTAAATTCATTCTAGATGATTGTTTAAGACGATGTACAGGACAAAATGCAAGTGATTCGATATGTCTTTTAATAGACAGAAAATAGTTGCAAAATTGAAATTATATCTGTCAGTTAGAATGTCTTCCATTTTTCATGAACAGAAAGTATGCACTGTGTGCTTTTCATTTTAATTTTTTTAATATTTTAATTTAATCGTAGTTTTCAATTTGTAATGATTGCGTAAGTGAAATCAATATGCACAATTTGTGATAAAAATATCTTGATTATAAAATAATATGTTGGTAAAATAGTATTCTTGTGTTAGTGAGAAATCAAAATTAAATCGCTGTTTAATTTTGTATTGATTATAAATTAATTGTATTATTTTGTATTGATTACAAATTAAATCTTGAATCTCTATAATTTTGTATTGATAATTTTGTAAAATTTACATACGAATAAAAAATTTGGTTGTGCGAATAATAGATCATCTAGAATGAGCTTTTCAGACGGGATATGTGTGTGCTAGATCGTAAGGATACAAGGACGCGCGTGCACACCTCGTGTTCGTCCACGAACGCGAACAGGAAGCATAAATTTTGTCACCGAATGCCAAACACGAACGAGAGGACACAGCACGTGCGTTTCCTACGCTCTCTTAGCTTCATAAAAATATCCACGAGCTGAAACTTCCTAAATTCAAAATAGTATGATAATATGTTATTTTTTGTAAAACTCACTTTTTTTACTTACCATTTTCCAACATTTATCTATTCTTTGTTAAACATGCCGCTAATTGAGTCTCAAATTACTAGTTTAATGAAGATAAAATTGTAATTATTTAAAATCGCATAAAATTTTATTCAAAAGTGTACGCCAAGGCTCAGTTCGCGAGATGCAGAAACGTTGTAGGCTTTACGAGTGTCACGGTTTACGGCGCTGGCAAAAAAGAAAGAAAAAAAGACGACCGTAAAAAGTAATTTGCTGTAATTAAAGCGGTATAATTAGGACAGATAGTGACGCGCCTTTGTGTTGTTCTCCTCATTGCCGTTCGAAGGCGGAACGAAAATAATTCTGTCCTCTTTAAAGCGCGACATGAATTCTGTTTAATCACGCCCACCGCTAATTTTCCCCGACTTTTCGCACATAAGAACCAAACATAAGAGATTGAGAAAATGTACATACATATTTTCACCTACGGCCGAAAATGACAACGACTGTCGAATCTCCGACTAGCTAAGTTTTGAAAGTTTAAAAATATACGATGAGAATTCTCATTAATTTTACGTGGGTGTTACTTTAATAGAATTTTATTTCCAAGCCTATTCTCTCTTTTGCATATCTTGCGTGCGCTCGATCTCGAAGCTCGAGAGCTCTTCTTCGGCTCTCTTGTTTATGTTGCAATCGCAAGTTTTCGAGTTACGCGACACATGTATAATCCTCGAAAGAGTCACCCATCTCCCGAAACGGGATTCGTATTTTTAGAAAGTATACTTTGCAGTATCGCGTAAAGACTCTCGCGCGTAATTCCCCCGAGGAGAGGCATTGACCTTTCGAACTCTTTTCTCTCTCGCCGCGATGAAATTCTCGCGCGGGTGTATTGTTCTCTCCAGTAGGTTCGTGCTTTATCACCTTTTCTCGCTACGAGACGAGGGATTTTCTTGTTATTTTATTGCTAGTCATAACTAGATTCAATAATTATTATTATTCGATATAGGTCGTGAAAGCATTATTGTATAATATTCTTCAATGGATTCATCTTTACATTATTTTTCGTTATTATATGTATTGTTTCTACATTAAAATTATTATTCTTTTATGTATATCTAATTGTACTAAAGTTATTTTTCCGCCGTAACATTCTAAAGTCGACGACGCCCGAAAATTGATTCTACCATTTTATATGTTCTTTATAAACTCTCATGATGACATACATCGCGATAAAAGCTTGGAAAGATTATGTCGATTGATCGCAGCGCGTGTGTGTGAAATATACAGTTTGTCTGTGTAGGGGATAAATCTATCTTATCTCGAGTTTTTCATCCTTGCAATAAATACAATGAATATTCGTCGTCTGCGATAGTAAACTTTAAATAATTGCAATCTATTTATTAATAGAGATGAGAAATGTAACGGCGATTTGAAAAATGATAAAAAAAATTATGATCCTAAAAAACGTAATGACGATGATCTTGGATCGCGCGCTGTTCCGTTCACTAACCTCCGTCGTCCGAAATATGCGGTCGGTTTCCGCGTTCTATATCGCAATATGTAATTATTCTGAAGTCTGCATTCGAGATCGCACGCGTTACACGCGGTACGATCTTGTCGGAATTAGACCGCCCACGTTCGCTCGTCGTAGACACCGAAGAAACGCGATAAAAGCTTTCAGTGCTCAGATGGGGCATCGCTTGCGCAAGCTCTTTCTCGCCTTCTCTCGTTCTCTTCTCTCTCTCTTCGTTTTCGTCAATTTGCGATTTTTTTTCAGCGAAAAGCGGGAAAAGTTTTGTTTTACGATAATTTGCTATTACTTTAAAGTTGTATTTATATAATCTTTACGTTATATAATTTTATTGTAATTTATATAACAAAATTGATTTATTTGTCACACAATTTTATTAATTTGTTTTTTTAATAATGTGAATACAATATTTCTGTAAGACAAAAAATATTGTAGATAGCATATTTTTGTTCATCTAAATAGGTGGAAAGGAAGGGGGATGGGGAGTAGAAGGCAATTTTACACCGCGCGACTAGATTCGGGGTGAGAAATGCGAGGCACATGTGTTTCTTTAAGGGGACTTCATCTCTCGAGATTTTTCTTCGGGAGAAGATTAATTATCGCTTACCCATATACTAAGAGGAGGGAGAATGTCGGGATCGAGATCGAGCAGTGCCAGGATTCCGAGAATCAGATACCAGTTCCCAGAATCGAGATGAGATACACGTGCGTTATAAATATATATTTTTTTTTTTGTAAATTCTGCATGAAGGGGATCCATTGATAAGAGTGAACGGTCAAGAAAAAAAATATTTAGGATGTGGATTAATAATTCGCAAAAATTATTTCGAATGTCCAGCTCTTTCTGCTTTTTTTCTTTATTGGAAATGGAAATTTTTTAAATTTATTTATTAATTTATTTACTTAATTTATTTATTAATTTATATTAGGATAATTTGATTTGCTTGCATTTAACTCTATTTCAAGACATATATAATTATTTTATTATAATTCATAATTATCGATCTAACATTAAGTATATGGAAAGTAAGAATTAAAATAAATTTCATAATAAACATATAAATATTGGATAGAAAATTTCTTGAATTTTTTATGTAAATTTATTGAAACACGTGTACATATATTGAATTTGTAAAAGTATATTTATTCAAAAGCATTTATAAAAATAGGTTATTTCGATTTTCTATCTTATTTTATGATGAACTTTCAAAAACACAATGTAAAACAGTATGATAATTTAAAAATTAATGTGTAGAATTGTATAATATTTTTTTAAAGGACATTTCTGCTGAATCGCGGACAAATTTCATGTACTTTCGTATCTTTCGGGAAAAGATTCTGGGCAGAGAAAATCGGGCAAATTCCATGGCATCCGAATACGCCGTACGTCAAAATCAAACGGTTCCTATTTATAAGTTTAACGGCGGGCTAAGCCAGCAGTGGGTTCGATTGGACACCTGTTTCCATTCAAATAAACGCGGCCCGATTATTATTTCAAACTGCAACTCCGCCAGTGAAGCAGCCGTCTCTGCTGCAGATCCGCGCGAGTTTTTTGTCATCTTGTATCCAGCTGGGAATCTATCAATTTAATTTACAATTAAAATTAATAACGTTTTGCCAACTCAATATTGTTCAGTCTCTGGTGACAAAGTTTTAGTCGGCATTAAAAGCGAGAGGCGAAAGAGAAAATCCAAAATGTGCTCGCTCGTGTTGTCTTCCACTTCGAGCGCATCCCACGTCTTCCATTTCGACATATATAGGTCACTGGGTAAGTGCCAAAGGGAGCCCTTTGTCACGCGCTCGGGCCTCGAAACATCTTCAAGTCTGAGGAAGTCGTTCCTTTTTTGCCTTCCTTTTTTTTGGCCCGCGAGCAGAAAGAAAGGCAGCGCAGGAGGAGAAGGAATTGTAGAAGGCCGAGAAAGAGGAGGAGGAATCGCAAGGGCATTAGGCCCCTCCGAATACGGAACGATAAAATTCTTACGAAACATCCGCGTGCAGAGAGCGAAAGGAAAAAGAGGCTTACGATTAAGCAACTTCGCGACTGTTAGCCGGAGAGTTTTGTGTCTGTTAAAAAGAATTTACAATTTAAAGTATTATCTCTAGCATTGTCCGCGCATTAATTTTTATCCAAGTGCTACTTTTAATTAATTTTTTTTATACTATTCTCCTTTCTGCATCCTCTTAATTTTAAATTAATATATAAATTTTAATTGATTTATAATATTCCAACATTTTGCTCTTACTTTGTAATTTTTTATATTAATTTCAACAGCGAACTCTTGTTTATACAAACGGATTAAACAAATCTGTGAAGAGCGATAGTTCGCCCGGCCGGAAGCGGAGAATTCTCTCCGAGAGAATTGTCAGCGAGAGCGATGGGGAGCCACGTCGCGAGATCTCTATTCGTTCGCGCTTCAGAGAAAATATGTGTATCTTAATGCTATCTTTAATGATTTATTCACGGAGATAAAACAGTGTTACGAGTGCCGGCGCGATTGAGAGGAATGTAGCGAATTGAGGTCGAAGCGAAGTGGAAGATGAGAGAAGCGCGAGATGTAAGAGTGTAAGAGTACTCGAGAACTGAAGAGAGATGTGTATGTAAGCATTAATTAAATTGTGTATTGCGTAATATCAAATTTAACGAGAAATTTCGGTGAAGAATGTTTCTATAAACAAATTCATAAATATATCTCAAGTTTTTTTTACAAAATATTCTGAACTTTTATTATATTTCAGATATTTTCGATATCTTAATTTTTAATTTCGAATTTATAATTTCTATCTAGTCGTTGGAAGTCTACCGTCTTGGAGAAAATCTCGTTCGATTTTTTGTCGAGTAACTTTTTGGTGAATTTTGTCCGAAGCAACTTCTTGGTTACTAATTGGAGAATTTTATACGCAGCACAATCGGGATTCTCTTTCTAACATCTTGTAATGTAATATAACTTGATTCGTTAAAAAGTTGATGCGACAGCGGATTTCTTCCATACGTTTAACCGATAGGTGCGGATCAATTTTATCTGAAGCAACTTCTTGATTACTAATTGGAGAATTTTATACGCAGCACAATCCGGATTCTCTTTCTAACATCTTGTAATATAATAACTTGATTCGTTAAAAATTTGATGCGACAGCGGATTTCTTCCATACGTGTAACCGTAGGTGCGGATCAATATTCAGATTACAAATTGGATTTAAATTTATTCACGACCAATATATCTCTGTTTGCAGTCACGACTGATCACAATTCATTAACATTATCTGATAGGATAATGTTAATTAATGATTTATTCGCGAGAAACCGTGAAAATGAAGGAGCGACGAGTTGTTGACTGCGAAAATTGATTATAATTGAAATCAATCTTTTGATTCCAGTCGAAATTGTAGTCGCAATTGTAGTTTTGAATTTTCTTTATAATCTATTATTATTGTATTATATATTATATTTTAATTATGTTTTACATTATTAAAAGAAGAAATTTCACTCTTTAAAAATCTATTAAATGTAACGTTATTTTGGAATGGTGATTTATCTTGGAATGGTGATTCCGTGCATTTCCAATAGTCTAAAAGTGTGTTATGTAATTCTCATTAGTGGTCCATGTTCGTAAAAATATCAGAGTATAATGAATATCCGGTGTACATTACTGAAAAATATGTGAAGACTCATCGTGGGTGGGCAGGCGAGCGAATGAAAGAGGAAGAGAGCTAAAAGGTTGTCAATCCTGCCAGAAATAATTTTGATAGACTACTAGAAACCAGGTCGTAACGCGGTTAGGCAAAGAAACAGTTCATTTTTCAGCATCTAATCATAGCCGGAAACGCACTGTCGAAAGAAATCTGACGTACAGATACGTAACACTTTGAAATCCGATTAGGGAGAGATAAAAATGAACATTTGCATTTATATTTATATTAAAAGTATGCAAAATATAATTTAATGGAATGCTAAGTAAAATTTGCAGAAAGCCGTTTTCTCGATCGTGTTTTATTATCGGCGATACGATTGTACAGGTGTTATTGAATCGGCTCGCTTTGTAGGCGATTGCGTGTACTGATCATTGATTGATAGATCGCGAAGGTCGCGATCGATAAGGATCTGTCATTTCCGACACGGCTACGATATCGTATATTCCACTCTGGAAAAGAGGCAGAAATACTCCAGTATTATTTTAGTATTCTTTTTTAAGATACTTGAAGTATAATAGCTCGATTCTTAATAAACACTGCTCAATATAAATAATTACTTTTGCAATTGTTGCGCGAATACACTTTTCGGACATTGTTGTGTCGTCGATTATAGAACAGTCAGCACATGTAATCGTATCAGCATGTATATTTTGATAAAATGCTAAAATAGGAACAAAATATGTATATATACATGTAGATAACGATTATTTTTCATTTTCGCGATAGTACGTCAAACAAGATTTCGTAATTCGAACGTTCTATGCGCGACGCGATAATGAGCTTCCCCAGCTTTTTTCGGAAATTCCAGAGACCGAAGCTTCCGTGGCGGAGTTGGACGGTAGAATAACATCCTTGATTGCGGTTTATACAGGATATTTTTTCGCGTAGGTCTTGTTTTTCGTCCTAATTAGAAGTTGGAAATTATGAAAACTTATGAGATCCGTTCTCTGTTCAGCTTTTTATATCCGATTTTTTTTTTATAAATATATATTTATCTTGTTCTAAATGTAGTTTTTGTGCCAATCTTGAATTTTGTTATTCATTTAATCAATTAAAAAAAATTAATATGAGCCAGATTGTTCATATTACTGTTATATTCTAATTTTTTATTTGTTAAATCAATTCTTTTTGTTTATTTCAGAATTTGTTTCAATCTCTTTATTTTTAATTTCCCTCAATCTGTTTTAGTTTATTGAAAATGGAGCTAATAAAATAAAAGTGGGAGCTAAATTTATTCTCGTTACGCTTAATTACACATAGTGCGCTTTCAGCATTAATTAGCTTCACTTGATTCACGCAACGCTCTTTCTCTTTTTGTTTCCAGTTTAGATAAATGGTGAGAGCCTAGTGTAAGAGCCATGTACAATCTGAACGTGAACGTGAATCCCAGCCCGACCGGGGCTGCGGGTCTTCTTGGTGTCACGGCGGCGGCGGCCGAGGTCACGCCAAGAACACCGGAAATCGTAAACTCACTGATCGCCATGACCAATCCCTTCGAGGGCTACGGCAGCGGTAACGAAAAGAGCATGAGGGATCGCACGGATTCGACCAGCAGCGGCGAACCGAGCCCGCCCAGCGTCCAGCACACCTGTAGTCAGCTCATCAAGGAAGGTAAAGTGAAGAATCACACGCATTTTCGTCATATGCATTGCGCTATGCAAATGGAGAGTGTATTCTAATAAGTAAAATTTGTGGAAGGTTTTTTTGACGACTTTAAACACGATTTCTTTTTCAAATAATAAAAAGAAAGAAAGGAAACAAAAGGTGGAAAAAATCAAGGCCTCCGAATATTAATCGCGGTAAAATACACGCGAATGACGCGAGAGGAATCTAAGCGAGATTGCACTCATTGCACCCACTTTACTCACATTTAACAAATGTCACTGATTGACAATATGACGGTTCGTTTCGCTCTGCACAATATAACGCGCTTCGCGCTCTTTTTCTCTATTTTGCGTTTTTTTTTTTTTTAGTTTTTGTTTCATGCACCGCGCGACGTATTAAACGGCGAATCCTGTTCCTTTCAAATTGCGGGTTACGCAACACACGCATACACACAATTGCAGATGAGGATCGTTATCGTAATTGCCCTCGCGGTTTTGTTTGCAATGGGTGGTTCGATCTATTATTCCAACCGCTAAATTAATTAAATGAAATTAAAACGATTCTCAGATAATGGAATGTGCAACTCGTTTAGAACAACGCGCTTTGATATCGAGTTTTATGTCGCTGAGTACTGACACAAATGGTCCTTAATTGTTGCGATTTAGACCCTCGAAGGTTACGAGAATGTCCTTGCGCTTTGCGTCTTAGCGATCACTATCATTTTCTGTGACATTAATACATTATGCGTTGTAGCATTTTTAAAATCTACTCTCAGACGGAAGTTAATAATTTTATAGCGCAATGCCGAAGAAAAAAATGACTACATTTCCATAATCTGTTTCTTCTTCTCATCTTTTATAATAAACACGAGTTTCGAGTTATATTTGCCCGCTTATTTTCAATATATTTAAAATTTCTCAATACTATTAACACTTTTGATGATACCAATAAAATTTTAATTTAATCTTTAAAAAAAAATTGTTTTTAATCCTGTGCATCGCGAGCAATGGCTTTTTCAGCTTCGGCAATGTGTAATGCTTTAATGTCAGGTGTGTTTACATTGAAAACTCTTGTTTCTTTAATAGTCTAATTTGTTAATAATATTTAAAATGCTTTTTTATTTTTTATATAATTAATATTACATGATTCAGTTCGCTTTATGTTCGCAAATAATAAAAAGAATCAGTAAATCGCGTGTCTCATGAAGTATCCTTGTGAACCAGACATATTAATGTACTTGATTATATCTACAAAGTGAAATTAATATGTGGAAATTAATTAAATCTTTGTCTGGACAGGGCTGAAGTTGACGCTACAGACGAAGAGGCGGGCGAACAGTACTACTGAGGATAGTAAGAAGAAGACGAAGAAGGAGGACGGCAGCGGCGCCGACGACGAAGAAGAGGACGAAGGGAGTAATAATAGCGGCAGGAGTGGCGTAAGTGAATTTTCATATTGCTCGCTATTCTTTTTAGAAGCGAAAGAGCTTCGCGTAGATTTTCGAAGGTTTTCCGATAAGAGTTGTCGCTCTTCCGATTTGTCTTTAACTCTTTACTATCCTCTCTGACGATTCTTTGTACAGGTTTTTAAATTAATTAAATTAAGTATTACACGAAGATTGAGAGAATCGTAGCTGATAATTTATTTTTTTGGAATTTTCATAGAAAGATATATTATTTATTTTGAGCAAAAATAAGAAATGCAAATAGATGCAGCGAAAACGAACAGTTTAATTGCGTTAGATGGATATTCGCGAGTAGACATTGACTTGATTCTATTCTGGCAGTTTCAACGATAGTTTAGAGGCGTCTTTAAATCCGAACCAGACGTCGAATCCTTTCGATCCTTCTTGTGTCCTTGACTACGACTATAACTCGCGTGTGCGAATAAATTAATTCCGACAGGCGCCGTTGAGACGTTTTGGCGATTTCGACATTCGCGAATTTGCATGCCACGCGCAGGATGTTTGTTTGTGGCTCAAAGTGCTGCTAAAATTAGCGAAATCTTGAAGCACGAAGAATCGACGCATTCGCTATATATATTTTTTTTATTCTTCTAATATATATTTTTACTTGTCGATGTTATTTCCATAATATTATTTAAAAAATCGTTATTCCAAGTATACAATAATAATATATCACATAAATGTGATTAATGAAGGATATCAGAATAAAATTGAATTATTTTTCATATTTATTTCTGATTTCCATAATTTATTTTTGTCTATTTGCTAATTAAAAATACAGATTTTAAAAAGTAATTAAAAAAAGATATTAATTTTTAATGAAGATATGATCAAATAAGAAAAGACGATTATCAAAATTTATGGAATTTTAGGTAGCTAAAATAAGAAAATTTTAATGGCATTTTAAATAGTGTCGTTGTATCGTGCGATCGTAGCTTTCCTTATTATCGTATTCAAAGATGCGGTGATGTCAAAGATATTATATCAAACTCCATTCAGGTCCATCACTGATTAACATCTCCATATGAAAAAGTCCTACCGCGTATTTGGTCAGTGAATTTTTACAAAGTGCGCGATTTACGTCGATCAAATCTATAGTCTTAAAAATTTTGAGTAATAAAAACCGAAAAGATATAAGAACTCAAAAACTCAATATTCTGTGAACACTCAACCGCAAAATTATAATTTTTTAATGGCAAAATTGGAGAGCCTCAAGAATTTCCCATTTCTCTCCTTTTTACATCTCTAAAAACCAGCACCTCAGAAGTTTCACATCTTAAGAATCTACATAAAATTTCCGAACAACTGCAGATCCAAGAAACTCCCTCCTTCTCCTGAAAGAAGACGCCAAAAGGATTCAAATAAAATTTGTTAGTGGCAACAAATTAGATGTAAAACATTTCCTGATTTTCCTATAAAGAAATAGAAGACGTCGGTATTGAATTTCTTAATTTTCTCACGGCCTTCTTTCAATATTTTGAAACCTCAGGACATCAACATTTCAAGATCGCAAAGATTTCAAACTTGAAGAATCGAAATAGATAAAATTTCCTAGCGACAAAAAATATCGAGGATATTCAAGAGATTTCTTCCCGAAAGGAAAGCGAAAGGCATGCTCGAATAGAAGACAGGGTCAAAAATGCAAAATCCTTGTCGTTTCCAGTTGACGCCGGAGGACGAGGAACGGCGCCGGCGGCGGCGCGAGCGCAACAAGATCGCTGCGACCAAGTGCCGGTTGAAGAAGCGCGAGAAAACGGTGATTCTCGTGCAGGAATCCGAAATCCTCGAGACCCAAAACCACGACCTGAAGTCCCAGATCCAGGAATTGGAGACGCAGAGGCGTAGGTTGGTTGACATGCTGAGCCTCCACAGTCCAACCTGTTTGAAGCAGGGCGCGGACGCGACGTCTTATCAGCAGTTTGCCGAGCCTTTTCAACTACCCAGTTATCAGGACAATTTTGTGCAACAGCAAGCACCACCGGCGTTGAATCAGCCGCAAAACTGCGTGACTGATTACCCGGTGAAGGTTGAAGGATACGAGACCGATTTTTATCGGCAAAGTAGCCCCTTCATACCGGCGACGTCGGATGCCGGTTGCACGGTTTAGCGAAACGGCGAAAATCGTTTTTCTTCGTCGTCTTGAGGGAGGGAGGATCGTCGGGAAGCTCGGAGTGCGGAGATTAAAATTCTCAAGGTTTGATGAAGGTTTGGAGTTGGTACTAGAGATGATTTCATCAACGTTAATTGGTTTTCATTTTGTCTAAATAATACTGAATTTCTATGTGATATCTAAGAGTAAAACGCTTCCATAGATAAATGACAAAGTTTAAACAGATGGAAAACTATAAAAAAAGTTAATCGACGTTGATGAAGGCAACTCTTTTTCTGAACAGAAATTTAATTTTTACTATTGTATTCGCATAAATTAAAAAGTCGTTATATAAATTATCCAAATTAAAAGCTATAAATTTATGAAAATTTATGAAAAAATACGAAAGAAGTTCTGATATTTAGTATCAAAATCAGAATTTCATATTATTATTTTACATTTTATTTATTTTATAAAATTGTATTATTTATATATAAAATTCTACAAAAATTTTATATTTTTTACTAAAGGAAGAAAGGCACGTATGAAATAATAATAATACAAAAACAGAGGATTTCGCGTCTGACGCTAAATTGTCAATTGCTTATATTACAATCTTCTTATTAAATACATATGTTTAGAATCTTTATATTGGTTAACTTAATTAAACGTTTTGATCAGTGCCAACGACAACGGACGACGGTAATGAGAATTATAGTAATCGAATGCTCTTACCCCCATTATAACCATTTCTTTCCATATTTCTGTGCTCCTTCTCTCTCTTCCTCCTCTTTTATTTTCCGTTCGCATTTCAGTTACTATAGTTTTCATCACAGTCATCGTTGACATTGTTAATACGATTGACACTAAAATGTGATTATTTTTATACATCTTGACAACGGTCTCACAGGTATGTTTCTCGATTCCTTTCTGTTTAATTTATAATTTTTATATTGTTTGGCTTACTTGATTATTTCCACATTTTATAGCGTGATCTCAAACAGAAATTATATTCTACAATTATATTTTAATTACTGAGAATGAATATTAATCGAAACGTTTAATTAAGTTAACCAATATGAAGATAACATATGTATTTATTAAGAAGATTGTAATATAAGCAATTAACAACTAGCGTTAGGCACGAAACCTTCTGTTTTTGTATTACTATTATTTTATATTTTTATTATATTATATCATACTTTCGAGAAGTATATTTTCCTGGATGAAATGGTTAGTGTCGCGAAGGCAAGATTATATGCATTCCACATATGAGATATCAAAGAACTGAAACAATGATTTCGGTGATTATCATTAATTATTATTTTGTTTATTTTTTAATTTAATTCTTAATTTTAGTATTTTTAAACTGCAGTCCAAGCTTCTCTCCGTCGCCTCTCCGAATCATAAGTCCGTAGCTTGTAAGTCGATTACTATATTATAAACGCGAACAATGATTTTTATTTTTCGTCTTCCTCCTTGTCTATCAATCTTACTTCCCCCTTTTTCTCATTTCATCTTTTTCTCTTCTTATTTTTCTAACGAGCTCTCGTTATACTCGAAAAACGTTCAACGTAGAGAACGCTTGAAGACATTCCTTCGTAATAACCGTACTGTGACATTCTTAAGGCCTTATTAATAATGTAATTGATAATATAAGATAGAGACGGACTATATAGTGGCACTCGCTCTTCTATAAGAATCAATAAAAATCACTTATAATATAATAAAGAATCATTAAAAGACAGTCAAAGTTCAAGATTACGATAGACTATCCGAACATCTAAGATTATAAATATTCAAATGATCTCAAGATTATGATTTTCAAGTAATCCAAATTACATGAAATTACGTGAAAATATAATTAATTATAATTACATTATAATTTTCAAGTAATCCAAATTACATGAAATTACGTGAAAATATAATTAATTATAATTACATTATAATTTTCAAGTAATCCAAATTACATGAAATTACGTGAAAATATAATTAATTTTCTGATTTATAAAATTATAATTTTAGTTAACTAAAATATCGTTTTGTGATGTCAATATGATTTAAAAGTTTGTTTATATTTTTGAGTCCATTCGACAAATATATTATTTCTTTTATTTTTTCTCTCATACTTGTCGCGCCGATGAAAAAAACTAGCAAGACGAGCGAGTATCGCTAAGAAATATTCCGTCGTTAATAATAAAATGAGAACCGAGACACCACGTCGAATATTCGGGAATTGAAAAGAATACTCATTGCCAAAACTCTTTAAATCTATATTTAAGAAAAACTGAAGAATTTTGGGATTTTTAATTTAAAATTTAAGAAATCTTTTAAGAAGTATATATTGCACAATTTTTCTTTGAAAAAAAAAAGATTTAGGGAACGTTTTGGGAATTAGCTCTTTACCTTACCGAAGTGCGTGTCTCGGATTCGTGAGACAGTGAGAAAGAAAGAGTACACGCGAGTACCCCGGTGTAGGTGAGTCTTCTGTCATTGATATTGATTATCAAGAAGTCGATAAACGTGCGTTCAAAGGATACTTATAATTATACGAATAACGAATGATATTTAATATTATGTACGTACACATATATTTTATACAAACGTATATTATATATATATAAATATATAAATGTAGATGTACTATGCAAGGTGTCCCAAGTTTGCGCGATAATATAAATTTTTTTCAAAATGTTACGTACAATATTAATTGAACAGATTAATTGATATAAAGAATGTACAATCATATTTTGAGAAGAGATTTATATTATTAATGTAAATTATTTTATACTACTAAAAGAATTATTAATTTTTTTTAATTAAAAAGTCGTTGCTCGCAAGAGCGATGGTGCGGTACATTTGGGACATTTTGTATGTTATATACACGCGCAAGAATGATCGCATAAATAAGTACACGCCGTTAACAATTAACGAACACAACTTAATTACATGACGATTAAATGTTAGATTCGTTGAAAAACCGAGAATTGCGTGCCTAACGACATACCTCAATTTGTTACCCTCCCTCAGTACGTTTGCTGATTTTATCGCGAAACTATCTTAGATCTAATAGTTATAAAAGAATATTATATAGATAGATAGAAAAAAAGCACAGTAATGTCAAAAAAAAAAAACATGTATGCATCTTACAATAATTCAGTAATAATTGTTACCAAAATTTGTCTCGAATATTTTTATGTATCTTTAAAATTACATATTTAACTTCTTTAAAATATCAAAAAACACTTTGGATTTAAATGTATTTATTTTCTAGTGTTAAATAATATTCTATCTTTTGTGTGCCATGAAACAGTTTTTAACTGCAGATTTTTCCACATAATTTTATCGATTTGGCAAACGCACTTTGGGCAAACGCTTATAAGGCAATTTCTCACATAATCTATGGAAGTTAGTTTGATCGTTAGCGGAATGCTGTAACTATATCAATTAACGAGAAAAACGCTTATATATCCGTGATCTAAACACCTTCCCCTCTTCGGAGTGTTGCCGCCAGAAGATTGATAGTAGAATTTTTGATAATGCGAAAACCGGAAGACTTTCCCGGTGCTTCGCGAACGAAACAAAGCGGGACAAAGTCTTTCGTGTTTTTCCTTCTTTTTTTTCCGTGACAGTATACGGAATTTACGTCATTACGTAAAATCCGAATATGACTTTTAACGTTTGTAAATTGCAAAAGGCTAATGATGCCAGTATCGTATAACAGCGACGCATAAATGGTGCTAGAAATATTTACCTTTTTTTATAGAATTTTTATTAAGTTGTCAGAACAGAGTATTTAATAGTTTAATGTTGTGTTATTAAATGTCATAAGATATTTTATTTTGTGAAATTACAAAAAAAATATTAATTAAAATGTATTAAACACTGACATTAGAAATTCTGTTAGAAACGCTTCTGCAAATTTACGAAGCAACCTCCGCAATTCTGGATATCTATTTTGTTATCTGAATACTGCCAGTACTAAGATCCCGGATACAAGTGGCTTGTAATATCTAAGGTCTCGTTTTTTTTATTTCTTATCAAAATGTATCAAGGATTTTCTCTTAGGACGTAAGCGCCGCTTTTTGAAGTAAAAGTTAAATTGTGAAATAGAAGTAAACTGCGTGCCAGATTTTTACCGATAAGAATTGACATTGTGTATTTTCTACGTATATTACTCAGTACCTGGCTATGGTTTACCATACAACGTATTCGTTTTTCCCCGCAAATTTTTCTGATTAATACACATATACAAACGAGATGGAAAAACGACCGACAAAATTTTATCGTTGTAACTTGAAGAAAAATTCTATTCTTTAAATAAAAATGCCTTCAATATTAAAAAAAATAACTATTTAAAGTAACATGTAAGATGTTCCCGTAAGCTAACATTTCTTTTACAAGTTTTCATGAAATAAAATAATGCATAGTAAAAAGTGCGTCATAGAAATTATTAATCATATATCTTTCTATGCATCTTTAAGAAAAATATTGTATTTCTGAGATTATATTTTTATTGTATATTTTATTTTCAAAATATTGTATTTTTTAAATCTTATTTAAAAATTATCTTTATTTAACATTTTTTGAAGGAAGTATTGCAAAGACCAAGCTTCATGATTTTACATAACTATTTTATTAGAAAACTCAATATATTATGCACACACATCTCTCACCTGTCTCACTCGCAAAATCAATTCAGTACGCAGTAAACATATTTTTGAATTATAAATAAGAATCGGGATGAACGTACAACAACGGAAGTAGTCTTATAGAACCTTAAAATAATTTCCTTAAGAATAAGAATCTCAGGATATAATTTTATGAACCCCTGAAACCAAAATATTTAATTACTGAAATGTTTTTTAAGCAATAAAATAAAGATACAAATCCTGCAAATACTTACACAATGATGTTGTTAATTGGGATATGAATTAGCTTGACAAAGAATCCTATGAAACCCATTATGCAAAAACCGATTGCAGTGGCAATTGCAATCTTTTGAAATTCTGTAATTTATAAAAACATATGTTACACTCAAACCATACTATTTTAAGGTTGTAAGTAGAAAGATTAATAATAAAGTCAAATTATAATAAATTAATGATAAAGTCAAGTTACCTTTGCGATCTGGCTTGGTGCATCTTTTAACAAGACGAATGCTATCCTTGGCAAACTGGCGGCCAGGCTCAGTGAGTTTCTTGATTTGATCCATTGCAAATGAGAATCTGCAAAGAATATAGAATTTATTTTAAGACAATTTTGAACCATGTCCAATTAATCAATAATGTTCAAAATGCATTCTAATTTTTCAGATCTCAAAAACTCAAATGAGATATTTTTTGCAATATTATAATAATGTTATATTCATAATATATGATCTATGAAAAAATATTTTACTTGCCATACAGATATAAAAATAGTTTCAAAAATATGCAAAGTGAATAAGGTAAATTAACGTTTGCAAAGTATAATATTAAAAAATTAGATTGTGAGTTTGGAATTTTATATGTGAATTAATTGGTCATATTTTATTGTTAGAATATAATTCTATCACATTATTTGTACTAAATACGATGCACCAAAAATATTTCACTCAGCATATAGACACTAAAATGTATTTTCGTATTTTAATAAAGTAAATAAGATTTGGGTTAGGTCAGAAAGAATCTGTTTTTATAGAAAATTACACATGCACACAGCTGTTTTATGCAAAAAGAAAACAGAATTCGTTCTCTTTTCGCATAAAACATCTACGTGCACGCACAAAAAAATACTTAAATTAGGAAATACACAATACTCACGTTACACGTTACTCGAGTATATCGCAAGAAATGCCGTTTGACACTACGACGTATCCTACGAAATGCTCGAAACGCTACGTGGACGATACGCTGTAACGACGTCACTTCCTTGCGACTGATGTTGGCACCCAAGCGCCGCGATGCCGCGAAGCGGCAATTATTCAAACAGTCACAAATACTCGCAGTCCCCCAATTGTATATATATATATATATAATTCTTAATTTCTTAACTTAATTAACAAACTTATTTTAGAAGACAAATTTTTTACTTATTACTTCTTTTTTAATAATAGTTTTACAGAAATTTATTGATTTACTTGTATATTATTACACATGTAAATCTAACATTATGTTGAGAAATCGTTCACATATTTTATTTTTTATCAATATTTCTATTATTGCAATTTATTACAATTTGTTTGATAACGTATGATAAAGTTACGCGAGTGTGGAATTAAGTATCGGGTCATTTATGAATCTCACTATTATTAGCGTAATGAGACAAGTCACGTTTTCGCATTAGATAAGCGCGATGCGCTTATAAATTTAGGCGTGCGGCTTGTATGTGATGGCATTAATATTCGTGAAAGTCAAGGAAGCAACATGTCCAGAATCATTGTTGCATTTTCGCTATTATGCGTTCTGTGCTGCATATCGTCCACCCTTGCCTTCATCTTCGAGGATTGCGGTAAATATGTACTCTAATAATTAAAAAAAATTTTTTTGCAATGATTTAATTGTTACTTTTCTTGTTATTGATTTTTCTGTCATTGATTGATTTTAATTAATTATTGATCTGTCTGAGTCAACAATTGTGCATTGCGCACAAAACGAGCGATTGAGAACATGATTTGATATATTAAAAGTCTGGTTTTGTATTTTTATTCATCTGTAAAATATAACAAATCATAGAGTATTTGTTTTACTAGAAATTCTTTGTTAGTTTTTAAATTTATTCTATTGAAATGTAAATGTTGGAGTATTCATCATTTTTGAATAATTAACGTATGGAAAAGTAAAAAATTTTGATAATATAAACTTTAGGAGAGGAAATATCTCAATAAAACTATAGAGGGCAGTTACAAAGATAAGCAATTTACAATTTATTTGTTTGAATATTGGAGAAACTGTAACAAATAATTCTGTCTATACACTTTTATTTTTGCCGAGAAAAAGTGGTCTTCAAGGTGACTCTCCCAAAAATTTATTATTTATATATGAAGAATAGTTTACATATAAAAAATTGTATGAATTGTAAGAATTGTGACAAACCTGGCTGTGCTAATTTGTAGATAGTAAGTATAACAATGAACGAAATGTGAGAATGTTACGAAATCGCTCGGGAATCTATTACTTATTATAGCATATTATCTCTAATTGCAACGCAGTTGACTCTAATTATAAATTATAGGAGGAACATTTGCATCGGATAAAGATGTAATCAGTAGCTATTAGCATTGAAGTCGTTTAATTATATGTACCTTTGTGGATTATATATCTGGATTACGTATAATTTTGATATCTGTATTGACATGTGTGCTGTGTAGTTGTAGGAAAATAGCGACATAAGGAAATTGTCTTTACGCGAAAACATGTTGTTAATTAATTATTAATTGAACACTTCCGATGTTTACTTGAGTGTGTGCATTCTGTAACATTAAAAATATTTGTATACTCATTTATATTTACTCTAGGTTCGGAGGTGGGCAAGTTTAACGAGGTATCGATTTCGAGCTGTGACTTATCGCAGGAGAAATGTTCATTGATCCGTGGCACTGAGATACGCGTGTCTCTCAAATTTACCCCAAGTTAGTAAAATAATTATGTGCTTCAAGTGACACATTTAATTATTACAGATTTAAGATTCCTGAAAAATATAGTATCGAATATTACTAATTTATAGTTCAAATTTGTATTAAAAATTTTGCGTTATAATTTTATAGTGAAAATAATTTCCACTGACATTTTTTTTCGATTGTTCATTCAAAACTAATTCATTCTTTTTGCAGGTAAGGATGTTGCAAAAATTGAAGCACGTGCATTTGGTGTATTACTTGATGTACCTGTACCTTTCCCGCTGGAAAAACCTGAGCTGTGCAAGGATCCTGATTCCAACCTTAAATGTCCCTTGAAAAAGGATCAGGAAGTTGAATACAAAGCTTCGTTCTCTGTGGACAAAAAAGTCCCCGCGGTAATTACTTTTACAATTTTAATGCTAGTTTGTTTTTCAATCTTTTATATTGTTTCAGATTATATTTTAATTTATGTTATATTTATTTTTTATTCCATATTCTAATAATTTGTATGTCAGGATGAACATAGTTTTAATATATTTGTTTCTTGTTTAGTTAAGTGTTGACGTTATGTGGGAATTTAGAAACCAGGATGATGAGAAGATACTGTGCGTAAAATTCCCGGCGAAAGTTACATAAAAGATAACTGTCATCTGTTTTACGGCAATTATGACGAATGATTGTAACGAAGTGGGTAAATTACCAAATTTTAAACAGTAGATCTTGCCACATTTTCAACGCATGTCGACCCAGTATCACCGATTAAAACTATGGAAAAAATAAATAATAAAAAAAAAAGATTTTGATGATATAATTTTCTTTACGTTCTAAACGTTCTAATAGCAAAGCTTAATAATTTGATAGGTAGCGTAACTCTTATATGCACGTTTATGTAAATTTTAATTTAAAAATCTTTATTATTTTTTTATAAGTAAATTCTCTAAAATATTAAATAAAGTATTAAAAGTAAAAAATATTGAAAAGTTAATCATATGCTACGAGAAAGGAAGTATTGATATTTCAAATTGTGCGTGCATTTTCGGGCTGCTCGATTCAGCTCGATTAGTATTGGGTGATTAGATTAGAGGCGCTGCAGCGCTCTCGTTGAATACTATTAGGACATGTAGCGCGTTTTGTTACGCTTCTGTAGCGGAGTTAGCATTAATAGTTACGTGGACGTCGTGTAGGCAACATGAGTCGAGTGTTCTATATCGCATTTGCACTTGTATGTGCTCTGTGTTGTTCTGCGCCGTGCCTTGGCGTCTCCTTCGAGAACTGCGGTGAGTTTATTTATTGAATAACTTATATGCGTTTTAGAGAGCAGGGAAGAGAGAAAAGCATGCTGCTTTTTTCAGAAAATTGTTTTTTCTATTAGAATTTTGTTAGCAAAATTTTGGAATTAAAACTACTATGGTTACACATAAATCTATATAAAATGTTTAATTATGATATTTAATAATGATATTGATAAGAGTTGCAATGCTCTAGAATCTTAAAATTTTGATATAAAAAGATTAAAATCATGAATACAAGATTAAATATGCTTATTAGTGTAAATTACAATATATCAATTTCACTGCTTTTATGATTACGATGTTAAAAATACCTTTTAATTCTCAGAAAATAGTTTATTGCTTTATGGTTCAAGATTATGCAAGAATACTGCATTTCAAAGAGAAAACGAAGATCCATATCAGTCTGCATATTCTGAAGAAAACAAAGAAGTTAACAAAAAATTTCTTTGTTTAATGCTTCTTTCTTTTGTTCTTCTTAACGAAACCTCTACATGCGTCTGCATGTTTAATGTGAAAATTATAAATATAGTCATCATTCATATCTTACATTTTCGATTGGCTATTTCCGGATTAACGCATAATGTCTGGATATTATGCGCCTGATAATTGTTCATAAAAAATCCAGAGCTATTCAAAAGTTTATTAAAAAATCTAAAGCGTAAATTCTAAGTCGGAAATGTGAGGCATCAATGACGCTTACAATGTTATTAGCATGAAAATAAATATACTAAACAAACAAGTACGAAGAGCTCGAATTTTCAAGGGTGTAGATTTCAGTTATATAAATATGTGTTAGATATAATATAACGGTAACTTTTATGTCTTCTTTTTAACAATGGATTATATTGAATTTCTTAATTTTAATTGCATTTTCTGTTCTGTCCTCTTACTTTCTATATATACTCTCTTTATACTCTACTATTTTTATTATAATTTATTTTATAGACAAAATAAGATGCAATAAGTAATTTTGAATTATTATTAATATTTTAGAAAAAAAAAACAGAATTTTTTATTGTTAGAATATCGAAAAGATTTTTTAACATTATGCTGGTATTGCGACGACTTTTTCTCGTATGCTGCCTTTCATTTATATTTAGTGGTAAAGTTTGATTACGTTATCAATTCGTAACGAATGTGTAGTTCATCAAATTCAAGGATGGATATATGTGTGATGTATATTCTAAAGAAATCTCAATTATACATACAAGTTTTCCGTTTTGTAAGATTTGAGTGTTATCGTTTGTGATAACAAGACATGACACAGCTTAATAATACTTATACGATGCGTATTGTTAGCGTCATCGATGTTGAGTTCGATAGTTAAGAATTCTTTTGTTTAAGAAATTTTTAGACTACAAATTACAAATCTTATAATATAATTTATTTTATTTTAGGTTCAACATTGGGTAAATTCACGGCAGTATCGGTTTCGGGATGCCAGGCGACGGACGAAAAATGTGTTTTGGTGCGTGGTACTAATGCATCTATATCTATCACATTTGTACCAAGTGAGTATAAAAATTATACTTGAAACCATGCATCCACTTTATGATTAAATTTTATTTTAAATTAATAGTATTAAGAATATGATTTATACATATATTATTGACCAAAATCTTTAATAACATTGAATTATGTTAATTGCATTACTATAATTACAATGCATATTCATATCAATTAACTGAGTATTTTCTTTGCAGATGAAGATGTTTCGCATGTCACTGCACGTGTATATGGCATAATGATGACTGTCCCAATACCTTTTCCATTAGATAAACCTGATGTATGTAAAGATCCTGACGATGGAGTCAATTGTCCTTTGCAAGGGAATCAAGAATATCATTATACAACCGCGTTGTTTGTGCAGAAAAAATTCCCTTCGGTAATCAGAATTTAACATATACATTTATTTTTTATATATATATTGTATTTCTATTTTTTTAGAATTAATTTTGTTTAAATCTTACTTATATTCAATTTTTTTTATTTATAATTTTCTTTATTGTTAGGTAAGCGTGGACATAAAATGGGAATTTGTGGACTCGACAGGCAAAAAAATCGTATGCATCCTATTTCCAGCCAAAGTTAAATAATACGAGATTTCAACAATTCAAAGTTAAAAAATCTTATTAAAAGCGATATCTTGATATAAAGCGCTTTTTATGCTAATCTTTAGATAAAATACTTGATGTAATTTCATTTTTTTACCTGTTTAATATCAAATATTATTTTATTATATTTTATATTATTTTATAAGGAAAATAAACAATAATGAAATGAAATAGGTTTGAAGATGTCATTTGTATATATTTTACAAGTGTCAAATTTTTTCACAACTATGAGCTTGACAAATCTCGATAAATGAAGAGTAAACATTAAATATTGTTCTAACATGTATTAGTCCTTAAATATTGTTTTTGACGTTTCATTAAGTATAAATATAAAAAATAAATTGTTCTTCGTAAAAATTATAGACTAATTTAATTTTCTTTCTATTTCACAATTAATTTAAAAAGTAAAAAAGCAAAATCTCTAAAATTAAATGTTACTGAGAATATTAATTTATGAAGTCTAATCAAGTTGAACATTAGTAATCATAATTATAATACTGAAAAAAAATTAAATATATATATCAATAAAATACGGAATTATAATATGATGGCAAAGTAATATTTATACCAAATCACTCTCGGGGAATCGAACGGCAATGAAGAATGGGAAAATTCTTTTGAAATTATTTTATCATATATATTCCATCATGGATCTGAATATATGAACAATGATTCCAACAGCATGGCACAGCATATTGGCGCTGATTAACAGCTCATTATAAAAATAGTTTTTCTGGTTTTTTAAATTATATTCAGTTATAGGAAAAAAAATTGAAAAAATTGAGAATTGAAGTGCAAGTGCAAGAAGTGCATAACTTAAAAAGAAAACTTGTATTTGTTATATCTGAGTATTTGATAATTTGCGTTTTCTCCCCCCCAATCATCAGTATTATCATGTCTTTATACTCTTGATTTTGTCTTCCTCTGAATCGTTCATGTCGATGTCCATTTGAGAGATCGTTCGTTTATTACATTGATCTGAGCTCTGTTGAATTTGTGTTGCCTTGCGCGCTTGGTAAAGAGGCTCGTACTCTCTTAGTTGCGTTAAAAAGCCCTCATTTGGATTTATACAGAATCTTCGCCGCAGTAATACACAATATGCACGCCTAAAATATTTCAAAAGAATTTTTTTGTATTGTTTTTCTGATACAGAAATTTAATTAAATCATTAAGTTAAAATATAAAAATTATTTTTTGATTAGTATTAGTTCGATTATTTGTGTATAATTTTATATTTATATTTATATAAACTATAAATTTTGGAAAAAACTTACTCAAGTGAAAGTTCATATGTTTCCATAATATATGCCAAAACCAATGCTGCAGATCTTGAAATACCAGCATTTCCATGAATAAGAACTCGACCACCTAAATGTAAGCTTTCGTCAATGAATGCTTTCACTTTCTGGAAATGTTGAATAATATTTTCCATCTCTGTATCAGCAATGTTCAGGACGAGATATCTATAGAAAATATTCATATTTTAAAGCTTTTTTCTTTTCTTACAATTAGTTTTGTAATTTATAAATCATTATTATTGCAATTAACAGACATGACATACTTGAAGTTATCAGGAAAATTGGGTTTTATAAAATTGGCTTCAATGGTATGCCTGACGCAGATTATATGTGTTATTCCATGATCTAGCAAAGATTGCAATTTGGAGCGACTAGCAACACTGTATGGGCCGAGGAAGATATTGGGTATCACCTCCTATAGCATACAACAAACATTAAGATAATATCTTATATAATCTTTTGATACAATAATACAATTTGACTAAATGATTTTAAAAACATTCTATATGCCTCACATAATCACCTGCATGCATCTTCTCATTATGTAAATCCATTCTTTCTTCTCTTTATCCAAATCAAAGAATTTAGGTATTCCTGGATCATGAGCTATTCCTTGTCTTTTGCGAGTGTTTTCCTACAATATTAAATATGACATATCAAATTAAAAGAGATTAATGTATATTTTTAAAGGAAAAAATAAAATCAAATATGTGCATAAAGCGCAATTAAATATGATAGATAAATTTTATTGCGGTAATTATTCAGTATCGCTACCTCACCTCCAATTTTCATAAATTTATACTCATTTGACGCGTTTTTGTCCAAAACCAAAAAATTTAACAGAAAAAAGTGTTGCCCCGTGAAGCGAGATTCCAACCCACACCTACACATGTGTACAGTTTATAGATGGTGGAGCCTCCCCGTAGAAAGGACATGTTCCACCGGATCCATACATACACTTTTAAGCATGTGTTTTGAATAAATAACAGCTTTCTTAACCTAAAAAGTGGTCAACTTTAACGATTAATATCTCGCTTCGCAGGACAGAGCGACACTTTTTTCTGTCAGATTCTTTCGTTTCACGCAAAAACGCGTCGAATGAGCATAAATTTATAAAAATTGGAGGTGAGGTAGCAATACTGAATAATTACTCTTATTGCTAAATATGATACTAAATTTTGACACTTTTTGTATCCATAGTCAATCCATCGTCGTTTATATGTCAGTAACTATTAAATTTTCAATATAAGTATACAATTTTTTTACCAGTTTGAAAAATATGATAATAAATATTATTTTTATCGCAATTTTTTAGAATTTTTGTTATAGAATACTTACCCATATGTATCTAGTAATTGAATTAGTTTCTTTATAAAAAAATTGGTGCATCATTTAATTTCACTGCTTCAACTCGTCTTGTACAGGGTCACTTTTTTTTTCTTGCTTCAGCCTTGGTTTTGGAAAATATGAAGTCCTAACCCAAGAATAGATCTTGAGGCAGTGTTGCGATATGGGACCGGTTGTATGCGCATGTACGGCAATACAACGTACAGTGTCTCATACAAGTTAAACAAGGCACCGTTATCCCGTTACATTAAAAATATTTCAAAGTTTTTTGAAATTGATTGAAATTTTCTACTTCTTGGTTTTTAGCTGCTGGCTCCGTAGATTCCATGCTTGTAAATAAATAAATCTTATCTTATTTGCAGTCATCTAACCTTCTCATGTCAAAAGTCTCGCCATACGGTAACACACACATATAACGGCACTGGATCTCCATCACCGCACATGCGCAGAGCCGCACATGCGCATACAACCGGTCCTATATCGCAACACTGGATAGCGGCAGTGTTGCTAGACGGG